TGGTACTGGGGAAAGTGGAGTTCCACAAGTCGAAGAATGAAATTAGACCTATATCTATCAACCTATGCAAAAAGAGACTTTGAGAGAGAGTTAATAGCCAGAATAAACAAAGAACTTAAAAGGCAAACTAGCAATAAAACATGGTACAATTTACAAATTGGGTAGATATGTGGCAAGTGCCTTCTCAAAAGAAAAACTAAAAACAGCTAAGCTATATCTTTAAAAGTGTTCAGCACCTTTAACAATTAGGAAAATGAAAATTAAAGTTACTTTGCGATAGCACCTTAGCCCAGTCGGAATGACAAGCTCGAGAAAACAACTGACAACAAACGGGCGTGGGGAAAAGGGAACCCTTGTTTGCCATTGGTGAGGTTGTAAGCTGGTGCAGCCACTGCAAACAGCAGGGCCGAGAATTCTCGAAAAGCTAGAGCAGGTCCACTAGATGACCCAGAGATACCATTCCTTGGCATAGGCCCAAAGGACTCAACATCATACTCCACAGACAACTTGTTCAGCTACTGCTGTTCTATTCACAATATCTAGGAACTTAAAACAAACTAAACATCCTTCAACTAATGCATGGAAAATTAAAATATGATATATTTATACAATGGCATTCTATCCAGCTACCCCCAAAAAATGAGATAATGAAATGTTCAGTTAAACAGATGGAACGTGAAAATATCATACTGGGTGAGGTAACCCAGATCCAAAAGATAAAAACTGCATGTTTTCTCTCATTATGGATCCTGGCTTCAATGTGCAGATTTGAGTTTACAACCTGAAATGTCCACGAAGCCGGGAGAGTGTAAAGGAGCATGGGAGGTAGCCGGTTATCCAGAGAAGACAGAAGTAGGAAGCAGTTGCCAGGAAGAGGATGCTGGGGGATGGGGAAGCTCTAATCAGGGAGAAAGGGCAATACAGGGAGGGACAGAGAAGAGAGAGAGATAATAAGAATGTTTTTAAAAGCCATAGAGAAACATATTACTTTATAAGTGTTTATATATATATGTATTTTATATGCAAACACATAATACACACACACACACACATATATATATATATATTACCAGAATGGTGGTTCATGCCTTTAAATCCAGAACTCAGGAGAAAGAGGCAAAAGGATCTCTGGGAGTTTGAGACCAGCTTGACTACATAGTGACAGTGACAGTGACTGTCAGGCCCACCAGATTGCCACTGTAAAAATAAAACCTGTTTCAAAAAGGAAGAAGGAAGGAACAAAGGAAGGAAGGAAGGAGAAGGAAAGGGAAAAAGGATGACAGGGAGGGGTGAAGGGAGGGAGGACAAGAAAAAGATATATATGTGTGCACATCCATATATGTAGTTATGGCACATAAAATGATGGTGCTTCCCAAAAGAGCCATGAATTCCTAGTGCCAGGGATGAAAAACCTGCCTCATGTTGTTGGTCATAAAAGAATTTCCCAAAGAAATGTGAATTATTGTTATTGCCCTCAGTTTTCTTCTGAAACTTGAAGGTAAGATCCTGTTGCTACAGATGCTACATACTTGAGATACAAGGCTTGCTCAGCCATCACAGAGAAGCTTCCTCCTTCGGTAGATGGGAACAGAACACAAGGCCCACACCAAGAAAATATGCAGCGAGAGAGACCATGAAACACTCAGTCCTAAATGGTGTGTCTCCACTAAATTCCTCCCTTTAGAGCTCAGGGAACCATTCAGAAGAGGAGGCAGAAAGAACGTAAGAGCCAAAGAGGAGAAAGGACACCAGGAGAAAAAGGTCCTGTAGTTCAACATGATCTACATACATGTGACTCTCAGAGACTGAGACAGCAGGCACAGGGCCTGCCCTGGTCTGCACAGATGGTGTCATACAGCTAAAAGGAGTGGACTCATGCCCCCCGCCCCCGTTCTTAATCCAGAAGCAATCCCCAATTGATAATCACTTACAAATGCAAATTCAGTTTCTCTTAAAGAGTCTCACTGGGGAAACAAACTACTTTTTTTTAATCTTATTTATTAATTTATTTTTTATCAATTATAATTTATTCATTTTGTATCCCAGCTGTAGCCTCCTCCCTCATTCCCTTCTAATCCCACCCTTCCTCCTTCCCTCTTCTTCCTTTCCCCTTCTACAATCCACTGATAGGGGAGGTCCTCCTCCCCCTTCCATCTGACCCTAGCCTATCAGTTTCATCAGGACTGGCTGCATTGTCTTCCTCTGTGTGTTTTCTGTTGAGAGACAGAAAAAGAGGTAGATCTTGATGAAAAGCAAATCAGGGAAAGAACTGGGTAGAGTAGAGGGAAAGAAAATCATAATAAAGATATACTACGTGAGAAAAATGCTATTTTCAATAAAAGGAAAACATAAAAATACAATGAAGAACTTAAACATAAAAAAAAGAAAATTTAAAATTAGCAAATCAACATTCAGGACACATGAGCTGATCTTTTAAATTTCTGTCAAGGAAATTGCTTCCTAACAATTTATTGAATTGCTTTAAATGAAGATTTAAATTTTTCAATAGCTTATTGGCAGTTATGATCAGCAAAGGTATTGTTTGTATTGTTTGGGTAAATTTCTATTGTTTGGACATACATATTTAAGGTTTATTTATGAAATTACATCCTAAGTTAACTCTTCTGTGCATTTAATTAAGAGATGGTATTCTTGAAAATTTTCCTTCCAATTTAAAAAAAAAAAAAAAAAAAAAAGCTTATGGGCAAATTTCTTCTAAATCTATACTGTCTTCTGCAGTGAAGCCTGACAATGGAGCTGATGATAGTTGATTAGAGCAAATCATTTCCATAATACATTTAAACTGTTACTTTTATAAGTGATCTTAAAACCCAAGTTCATCTTGTTAATAACAGTACATGAAACTCACTAGACAGAAAATAACAAAAGACATAGAGCACTGAGTGACGCTGGGCAGGAAGTGATGATGCCAGACTTAACACACTTTTGGCTACTGAGGTGGTCATCATCTAACCATTAGCAATTTCTTCAAAGCTCTTCAGTAGTCCAACACATCCTAATGGTCGGTGCATTCAAGGTCCCACAGTCTCTCAATGTTTCTTGATTTATTTAGAAATGTGTTATTAATGAAAAGCTGTTAAATTACCTTTGAAGGAAAAAAGTATTACATGACTAAGTGACAGAAACTGATGCCACTGTGCCCTGGTCTGCAGTTAATGCCACTAAGAGTAGGCTGATTTATCATGAATGTCTCCGGCCACCTCTTCTGAACAGATGGACTTTAAGGTTAAAAGATGGGAATTCGTATGTAATACTCCCTATGCAAAACTTTTCATTGACGGTCTCAAACACGTTTTAAGATTTCTTCCCAACTTTGGCCTTCCCTTCTCAAGCAAATGACAGGCAGCAAGAAACTCCCTGTTTCACCTGGCCTTTTCTACTTCCTGCCCACTCACTTCAAAAACATGTTTTCTATTTCACAATGCTCTCATTATCATGAGAAATAATCATATCACTTCCACTTCCAGTTTTGCCAGTTCAAATCACAAATCTTTGTTTCAACTGCATGATAATGAATTTCTCCCCACAATGTCTCCTAAGTAAATTCCAAAACAGAAATAAAGCCATATTCTAAAGCTTCTGAGAAACATAGTTAAGCCAAAATCTTAAAATCGGACATGTCAAAATTTCTGAACGAAAAAAAAATCAGTTGAACTCAACTCAAGTTGAATTTTATTCTTATTTACTGCACTTATTTTTATTCAAGAAGTATAATTTTAAAATCAGCTTTGTGATTTAGTTATGCAAATAAACAATGCAAACTATTTGCATATACTAACATTAACATACTTATATACAGGAAGACTAACAGAACCTATATCCCATGCAGAAGCTGTAAACTGGTTTTAAAAGCTATGTAAGTAAATTTTCTTTTCATTTTAATCATTAGGACAACAGCTATACTCCAACCAAGGACTATTCATGGAGATAACCTAGAACCCATGCACAGATGTAGCAAATGACAGTTTAGTGTCCAAGTGGCTTACATAGTAATGGGAAGAGGGACTACCTCTGACATAATCTGATTGGCCTGCTCTTTGATCACCTCCCCCTGAGGGGGGAGCAGCCTTACTAGGCCACAGAAGATGACAATGTAGCCACTCCTGATGAGATCTGATAGACTAAGATCAGTAGGAAGGAGAAGAGGACCTCTCCTATCAGTGGACTTGGGGAGGGGCATTCGTGAAGAAGGGGGAGGGAGGGTGGGATCAAGAGGGGAGGAGGGAGGGGCTTATGGGGAGATACAAGGTGAATAAAGTGTAATTAATAATAAAAAATTAAAAAAATATTTAAAAAAAAGAAAAAACAAATTAAGCTGTTTTATTATGATAATAAGGAATTTTACAGAAAAAAAACTGAAATAAGATAAACACCATCTATCCTTCAGTGTGCCTAATAATTTCATAACTCATTAATTACATTTGTCAACCTGCTGTTTGAGTTAGAGAAGAATTCTGAAGTTAGTTGGCCCTTACATATCAATTAATATGTCCTATTTTACTATTTACCACTCTTGGATGCACTTAAAATATAAAACCTTTGTTCTTACACAAAACACATAAGGTTCCCAGGACAAAACTCAAGATACATATTCATATCTTTAAAAATAACTTTATGGTTATCCGGGTAAATATCAATGAGAATTTATGTTACCTTTTTCTCCCCAAGAGATCTAGTAAATGTGCGTTTCCACTGTGGCAGAATGATGGGTGAGAATCGTGGGAAATTGGAAGAACTCTATAAAGTTTTACATTCAGTGAATTATTTCAGTAACACAACACTTTCTCCTGTTCATCCTCAATATTCACTCAGGAAAGCGCCATGCATAATTTATAATGGCTAGAAAAACAAACTTCATTTTATACCAAAATGATACCTAATTAAAAAGAAATAAGCCTAGCCAAGTTTACCAATATTGCTTTCACAAGAAAATGGCATAGGAGCGCTGGTCATTAACGTCAGAACTCAAATACATTTACCTTGAAAAGCAGCTGCATTCCGAGATATTAGCAACTTTAATGTTGAGCTGGATGTCTGAAGCACCTGCTGCAAATCTTGCCGAGCTGCAATCTGGTACCTCTCCTCCATCTTCCTGTTGCAGCATGTTGGGTTTTTGGATGTACAAACCTGAAGATCAGGCCCTGAAAGACAAATGGTGTTTTCCACAGTGACTATCAGGCCATTTAAGATACACGGAAGGTTACATGACAAACGTTATGACCAAGCCTGCATGTCTGAGGTTTTCGAACAGTGTGAGAAATTGATTCTCAGGTGTACTTGCTATAAGAAAATTACCTATCATCCATTATTATCAGATAACGTCCAGTATCCTTGAGATGCCCAGAAACTCACACCATGCAGTTACATGAAGGTGTTCCCCTTTGCACTAAATATTTGTGCAAAGTGTTGATAATTTAGGCTACCTGGATTTTTTGCAATTCTCACTACAAGTTTGAATTGCCTAAAAATAGTTTTGTTTTGTTTTTCTTTTTAACCCATGGTGCTTCAGCACTCCCACGTTAGCTCTATATTTATGAAAGTTATTGGTGAGTGTTAGCTCTGTATTTATTAAAGTTATTGATGAAACAAATAATCTGATTGGCCTGATCTTTGATCACCTCTCCCTGAGGGGGGAACAGCCTTACCGGGCCACAGAAGATGACAATGCAGCCACTTCTGATGAAAACTGATACACTAAGATCAGAAGAAAAGAGAGGAGGACCTCCCCTATCAGTGGACTTGGGGAGGGGCATGCGTGAAGAAGAGGATGGGAGGGTGGGATCAGGATGGGGGGATACAAAGCGAATAAAGTGTAATTAATTTTAAAAAAGCAAAAATAAATAAAATAAAATATGCTCATGCATACATGTGCACTGTGCCAATGTAACAGCTCTTCCTCCCCATTCACAGAAATAGTCTGAAGGCTCTTTACTAAATTTGGTCTCAAAAAAGTCAAAACATGTCAAGTCACTCTATTCTTTCTGCCAACCTGACAAAGCAACAACTCTAACAATATTGGCTTTAGTTTGCTGAAGTTAAACAATAAATGACAATATTTTTAGTATTTTACAAAGCTAAGAAGCATCAAATATTTATAAACATCACAGTAGGTTATAAGTAGGCATTCTTTCATTTATCTTACTTAACGTTATACAAAAGCAAATTCTATTTCCAATAGTAAAATTGATTGAAAGAAGACAAAGCCATTTTCTCTGGAAGAGTCAGGGGATTAGCATTCAGAAAAGCACAATAATGAATAGGAAAAAGAAACAACAAATATTGAAGCATATAAACCTATTTACTAAGAATAACTAGGAAGGATACAATGGTAGATTGTTGCAAATATAACTCCAGAATGCAACACTGTCTTCTAGCTCACATTCCCATTCATGGCCTAGAAAGATGGCCCGAGCAACAGGTCACCTGCAGTGGTTTGAATAATGGCCCCTATGGGCTCATATATTCGAATGCTTGGTCACTTGGTAATGGCATTATTTGAAAGAATTAAAAGGATTAGAGGGTGTGGCCTTGTTGGGGGATCTCTTTCTCTCTCCCCCGTCTCTTTCTCTCCCAGCCTCCATCCCTCTCTGCTGATGGATCATGACGGAACTCTCCTCTACTACGCCAGCACCCATCGACATGCCACCGTGCTCCTACCTTGATGATAGAAGACTAACCTCTAAAACTGCAAGCAAACCCCCAATTAAGTGTCCTTTTCTTTTAATAAGAGCTGCCTTCATTGTACTGTCTGTTCATGGCAACAGTATAGTGACTAAGACCCCACCTTTCACTGATTCTCCCTCCCCAAATACATCTCCAGGACCATCAACCACTGTGCTCTTCCCTTCAGAGTCTGGCCATTTTCAGTTACTCAACTTCACCAGGTTCCTCCTCCTTCTGTCTAGGATTCTCGTTCTTAGATACAGTTCTTTAGGTCTGTGCTTCATCTTTCCAAGGGATACCTCACAACCACCCAGGCAGCTCAAGTCCTTATAGCATATGTCTGTAACGGGACATACATCTCTCCACTATAGTTACTATGTCTAAAATTTTATATTCTTTGATGTGATACCTAATTAGTTTTCCCACTAATACTGAAAAGCCCCATTTTCATCTTGAAAATTAACCCAGTCACCCATGACATGCCCAGTATATCACAAGCAGTCAATAATATTGTGTATTATATAATTTAATCCTTAAATATCAACTTTATGACATATATATCATTACTGTCACATTTCATGTATAAAAGAAATAGAGTTTAGAAGAGGCTTCAAGAGGGCTACTGATTTTTTTTTTTTTTTTGTAATCAATCTTGTATCCAGCCACTCTGCCGATGATGTTTATCAGCTGTAGGAATTCTCTGGTGGATTTTTTGACATCACTCATGTACACTATCATATCATCTACAAACAAAGATACTTTGACTTCTTCCTTCCAGATTTGTATTGTATTGAAGAGCTATGGAGAGGGTAGGCAGCCTTGTCTTATCCCTGATTTTAGCAGAATTGCTTTGAGTTTCTCTCCATTTAATTTGATGTTGGCAATTGGCTTGCTGCATATAGCCTTTATTATGTTTAGATATGGGCCCTGATCTCTCCTAGACGTTCATCATGAAGGGATGTTCGATTTTTTTCAAAGGCTTTTCTGCATCTAATGATATGATCATGTGGTTTTTTCTTTGAGTTTTTTTTTTTATACGGTGGACTACATTGATGAATTTTTATATGTTGAACCATCCATGTATCCTTGGGATGAAGCCAACTTAATCATTTTTTAAAAAAAACTTCAAATTTCATTGTTTGAAGTTGAGGATATAGCTCCGTAGTACAGTGTTTTCATGGTACATGCAATGCCCTGGTTCACTCTAACCCCTCAGGAAAAAAAAATAATTCCTTTATATTTGTTGGGTAGAGTAGCACACACCTGTCTCAGGAAGTAAAGACAGAAGAATCCAAATGCAAAGTCAGCCTGAGTTACATAGTATGCTCCAAGTTAGCCTGAGAGACATAGGAAAAAAAAACAAAAAAAAAACAAAAAACTATCGCAGAGCAAGAAAGAAAGAACAGAAAAAACACACAATTATCCAGTGTCACACACCAATAGACTACAAAATGGTAGAGCTGAAGTGTGTAAACAGGCAAGCTGATTCCCAAATCATAATTGCCACCATTCTTCTACCAAGAGGAAAGCAAGTCTTAAACCTATAATTGGTTGGTTTATGAACATAACTGGCCATTTCCTTTCCCTACTTAGAAAAGAAGCATCTGTTTGGAAAGCTGCAAGATAATAAATTTAAGGTTAGGAACTATCAAACAAGATTTATCCAAAATAAAACAGTCTAAAATATAGTTGTAGAGAAGTCATTTGCCTCTTTGCCCAATTTTAAGTGATGGAAACTACAATTAGAAAGATGCCACAAATTGTTCCCACTGCTATTTTAAAATGTAGAAGAGAATCTGCCACACACAGGAACTCACAATCAGCACAGGAGCATTTGATTTCTCAGTGGATATGCATTCCCTTGTTATCGAGGGTCTGCATTGACTGAAGCTTTCATTTACAATCTTGAAATCTTATAATGGGAACACAAAACTAAATTCCAAACCAATCTGAACTATGATACCACAATTCAAAGGTAGGCTAATTTGTAATTGTATACATTTTAATCATTATCACCTACAAGATATGCTTAACTGACTTAAAAATTAAGGTACCAGTACAGACACACAGAGAGAGATGATTTCATAAGAACCTTCACTTTCCACTTTCTTCTTACGTGTGTCCAAAGACAGACAATATTCAAAAGAAAATGAAATCTTCAGGGAATGACCATATGGTCCCTGTTCACAGTATAAGTACAGAAGGCACAATAAGACACTTGTTAATAAAAAGCCCACACTGCAGTTCTCCTATTGTAAATAAAACAAGCATCAAAAGAAAGCAAAATCAGAATACAAGCATATACTACAGGTAACAGGATGTTTCTTTCTTTCTTTCTTGTTAAGATATCAAAGCCTGGCTTCAAGGAACATGGCATAATCCCAGCACACTCTGAAACAGCAAGACAGCCCGTGCTGCAGAGCAGGTGTCCTGTTCCTGAACAGTAAGTGCAAACTCTGCAGGGAAGGCTAACAACAAAACAAAATTAAAAATAAAATCAGTGGCCTGCTCTTTGATCACCACCCTCTGAATGTGGAGCAGCCTTACCAGGCCACAGAGGAAGACAATTCAGCCAGTCCTGATGAGACCTGATAGACTAGGGTCAGATGGAAGGGGAGGAGGTCTTCCTCTATCAGTGGACTGGGAAGGGGCATGGGAGGAAAAGAGAGAGGGAAGTTGAAATTGGGAGGAGACGAGGGAGGGGCCACACTGGGATAGAAAGTGAATAAATTGTAATTAATAAAAAATAAATAAATTAAATTTTTTTTAATTAAAAATAAAATAAAATAATAAGCACTTCACAGAAGGAATTGTCAGCCAAGAGGCTAGGACCTCTTTAGGTTCTCATCCATAATTCCCATTTGTTTCCAACAGAAAACGCAGCTGCCAGCCTGCTTAAGTACTTGTCCAATACGTTAAACCAGGAACACAGGGAGGCATTCTTCTAAGACAGCGGTGGCAACTGTGTGAGTTTTTCACTTTTTCCATATCCTCACATATAACCAGACAGAACCAGAAAAAATTTCTTTAAAAATAAAAAAAAACTCTTCATAACACACTGTATAATACGACATCTCTAAAGCTTAAACAACAACAAGAAAGGAAAAACTAACATCCAAAAGATCTTTGTAGTATCAGAATCTAGGAGGGAGGAGACAGCAGAGGAAGTGGCCGATAGAATAAAGAACAGAACACCACAATTGTAAACTGATACCAGAAAGCACAGCAGACCAACTTAGGAATGTGGGTGACAACCCCTTCAGGGAACACAGGAATGAACAGAGCCGTCCTGGCCCAACGAACTCTGCCAGAGCTGGCTGGGCTCTTTATGAGAACAAAACCCCATTTGGTAGAAAAGCTTTGGGACTAGACTCAGAATGTAAGTAAGCCAGGAGAAACAGAAAGACGGCTAGGCAACCTTCCAACTTGCAGCTCATTATCCACATGGGGTATGCATAGCAAAGAATGTTCTAGAAGG